CATCAGCGAACAGCAGCCATTCTCCTGGATTCAGATGGCTTCGAGATTCTAAAACCATTCAATATGGACAAAGCTAAACTTTTACCCTTAAGAGGCTCGCTGAGCCGAAAACTCGGAAGGGCGACCCAGGCAAAAGTTAGAGCAACAAAAAAGAGAAGAAAAAGAAAAAAAGAGAAAAATGCAAAGAATGAAAAAAAGAAAAGAAGAAAAATGAAGAAAATGAAAAGAAAAGATGAAAAAGAAAAAAAAAAGTAGAAAATAAAAAGAAAATAGTGAAAAGAAAAGAAGAACAAAGCTCACAAGGTTGAAAACCCAGAAAGGGCGGCCTTGGCAAAAGTTAGAGCGCAAAAGGAAAGGTTAATACCCGAGTGTACCTTAACCTCCCGAACTACGTAAGGCTTGATTCCCATGTTTGGGATACGTAGGCAACTTTGTTCTGAAGTCCAGCCGTAAAACACTTCAAATTCAACTGTATCCATGTGATGGTTCTGGTCATCTTTTTCTTCTCTGTATCCGAGAGCTCGGTTGTGATCGTCACCTTGAAAACTGGTTACAGTGTGCTGCGGTGCTATTCAAACAAGGGGCAACTTTCCATTGCCATACTGCGCGCTATAGTGCTATTCAAACAAGGGGCAACTTTCCATTGCCATACAGCGCGCTGCGGTGCCATTCAAACAAAGGGGCAACTTTTCGTTGCCATGCAGTGCCATTCAAACAAGAGGCAATTCTCCTTCGGATCTGAGGTTGTGCATCTCGAGAGTAGGTTCCGTGCTCGTTGAGCAGTGGCCGTTTGCAAAAAACAGTTTTTGAGAATTTTTACTGAGGTTGACTAATTTTCTCGAAAAGTATTTCATTTTTCAAAACTGGACTATTTCTTGGACCCAAAAAAGGAAAATTTTCAGTGCTCATAACCTAACTTGCATGATTTTAAATCAGAAAATCGAACAAACGTGTTAATCTAACTCTCATGTTGGTCAAAATTGTATTAGCAGAACGTCAAAAACAAAAAATGGTCAAAATAATGAACTAGGGGCACCATTAAGTCAGGTGTTCTGTCTTTTCCCCATTGTCAACATACTTGCCAGAAAGGGCACCGTATCTGCCAGAAAAGGGCACAACAGAAACTAACAACAAAATGCCGAAAGTTCTCCCATCCTCCAAGCAATGAGGTATCAAGCTAGGTGCAAAGCACGAACTGGAATGGGGCAAGATATTCCACTCCATCACCTAGACAGATCTAATCACGTCCAAACTCCCTAGTAGAGCATCGTCAACCAATGTCAATTGTAGATCTGCTGCACATCCAGCCGCATCACAACCCCTCTGTGGGGGAAGTTCACTGTTGTGAGCAAAAGAAAGAGAATCTAGCAGAATGCCAGAATGCTAGGGACAAGAGCCCGCAACTTCTTGTTTATCCACCAACCACCCAAGGAAGGGACAAAAAATGAGAGATTAAAGAATAGAGAGATGTGCGCTGAGAGAAAAAGTGAGGAAAAGGGCTTTTTCAGAAAAAAAAACAGAGCCTAAGGGCCGAGTGATGTGAGAATCACAAATTCTCACATACATTTTATACATTTTCAAAAACAATCTTCCCTTATTATATAGATATATGCATGAAATTAAATATTATTTTATTACTGTTATAACCATGGCTTCATTCCTTTACTTTGATTTATTGTATATCCAAAAAAAAAAAGAATCACAAAAGTGACTATAATTTATATTGTATGAATTAAATTTATTTTATGCGCGACTTAACCATATCAAATCAAAATATACACTGTAAATTTAAATTTTATATACGTTTAATTTGTCATTTTTTTTTTTAGTACAAAACAATTATATTGCCAAATAGATCAAGAGCAATTCTTAAAATGACAAATACTCATAATATTCAATCTAACGTTCAAATTAATTAAAAATATGAATTATACCATGCAAAAGTGAAAAAAAAAATCAAGAGAAAAGTGAATAAAATAAAAGTATTTTTTTCATTTTTTTTCTTCTCCACAAATTCACCCTTCTTTTTAAAAAAAAAAATTCAAATACAGTCTAAATTACCATGATATAATAATACCAAACTTGTTTGTAGAACTTTGTATAATTTTTTAAACTTCAAAAGATATTAGTGTAGTTTATTTTTTTATTTTTTTAATTTGAAATTTTAATTTGGATGGAATTAACCTTACGTCACTATTGATTATAATTACAACTCATACTCTACACATGTTCTAATCTTTAAAAAAAGAAAAGAAAAGAAATTACTACATATCAAACATGAGATTAAGGAAACTGCCACGTTTCAACTTCTATTGATAATTTCAATAATGCCTATTATTATAAAATAAAAAAAATAACATATGTGACCAATAAAAGAAATTTCCATAATAATGTTGAATACAATACAACCATATCAATAAAATCTATCAAAAAGTTTTTTCCATAATAACGATAAAATAATATCAATAAAACCTATCAAATTCCACGTTTCAGCGTTTTTTTTACTTTCCTAAACCATGCAACGTGTTTTCAAACAATATAAGCTGTAAAAATTATATTTATAATTATTATTATATAATATAAACAAAAACATTGTAGTATCTTTGAGGTTCAAAAGCTCAATATATATTTTCTTAATTTTATAACACTTGAATACACATGTCATTTTATGATTAGTCCAAAATATATTTAATAATTGCCAAAAATATATTACTAAAATAAGTATCATTTCCTAAAAATTGATATTGATTCAAATCAAAATATTACTCAATAGTCTTTATATTTTATATCTTTTGTCATTTTGGTTCATATGCTTTTAATTGACTCATTTTTTGTCCAATTGATAGCGCCGTTAGTATTTTTGACTAAAAATTGATCACTAGATTAGTTGAAGTTTACTCACTGAGTTAAAAAAAAATTATAAGTTCGACCCTAAAATCATGACACAAGATGCTTCTATTTGTATTTTTCATTAAAAAATGCTAACAGCTCTAATTGAGACAAAATTATAAATTCATGGTCAAAATTGAGTCGATTGAAATTACAATAACTAAAATGACACAGAGACTAAAATACAAGTACGGATGTAATTTGTCCTACTTTTAAGCCTACGTTTGGGAAGTGGGTTGGCTTTTTGGCTTTTTGGCTTTTTTGACTTTTTTTGTGAGAGAAGAATGTAATGATTATAGGTTGGATGTGATGTTTTGTTTGTTATGGCTAAAATAGCCTATTTTGTTTTTTGTGGCTAAAATAGCCAAAAAAGCCTGAAAAAGCCCTTGCCAAACACAGGCGAATTAATGTTTTAGTTCACATAATGCTCAGATTCATTTTCATTAGTAATTCATTATATGCATATGTTTGGATATAAAAAAAATAATGTTTTAATTACTTTAACACTATATTTTACTTTATTTATCCTTATATTTGCATACCATTTATATTAATTTCAATCGTTTCAATCTTATTAAAATAAAATTCAATACATTTATGTCAAACTTATGAAAGTTATTGTATTTTTTCTATACCTCAATGAAGGTCAATATAAGCTACCCAAAATGACAGTGCTGGTTGCCTTCTTTCAAGCGGGTCTATAACCAGAATATATTCAAAAGAAAATTTAATTTAATATGATAATTATAATATTTTCAATTTATCGAGTTTATTTCAAAAGAAATAGTTAGTTTATTTTCAAAAACTTACTTCTTATTCATTTTTTCAGCGATAATCGTGATAAAATAAAAAAAAGTTTAATTATCAAATCAATCTAATTTTTTCTATGAGTTATATATTTTGTCAGTTCTATAAAATAAATAATTTAAATCATTGGAAAGGGACTCACGATGAGCCTTACGAAACCCTCAATTAAACCCAACCCAAACGATATTAGCATATTTTTACACTAAAGTATATAATTTATCTTGTTTGTTTCTTTTGTCTTCTCACCTTCTGCCCTAATTTCAATTGTTTTACCCTCATTGAAAAGGGATTGATGTAATTATAGTATGCTTATGGAGGTTCATTGTATTTATTCTAAAGAAAATGCTAAACACCAACCCTTACGCTGCATTTGGTTGGATGATTTGGTGTGAGAAATGAAAAGAAAAAAAAGAAATGTAATTTTATTTTTTATTTGCTTATAACAGAAATTATAAGGGAAAAGAAAGTGAGAAAAAAAATACAATCTCATTTTTTGTCTTTTGGGTTTATTTATACTTATTTTTTTCATCTCCATTTCCCAATTCAACTAAGCATAGTTTGAAACTTGAATCCTATCAATTATTTCTCACTTTGTTTCTATTTCCCCTTTTTCTTATCAAATTCTTCAACCAAATATGACCTTAGAGTTAAATAATAATAATAACAATAATAATTAGTTTTTTTTACTAATTTAATCAAATGACATTTATACACAAGTCTTAATTTATGAACTTATAAATTCTAACTAAGATTTCTTGGAATTTCAAGTCCCATTAATTTTTTAATAGTCAGAATTGTTATTCAAACAATGATTGTTCATCATTTAAGATTATCTATAACATTTATTTTGATTTTCAAAATTTTAAAATATCAACTTTCAAATTAAAAAAACTAAAAGAAAAAAAAAATTATGTGCCAAAAAAAAAAACACTATGTAGGAAAAATTGAAAAAATTAAATTAGTTTTTGTGCAAAACTAAAAATTTTGTATCTATAAAGGAGCATGATAAAAGAACTTTAAAAATGAAAAACTGATAATGTTCTCAGTTTTAAAACTGGAAAAAAACTGAAAATATTCTCGATTTTATTAGATAGTTAAATCAAACCAATAAGTACAAGGACAAAAATGTTTAATCTCATACTCTATTTTTTTCTTTTTTTCCTACATCAGCCAAATACCAATCTGCTCTGCATTATTACACGTGTCCAAGTACATCACGCCAAATGTGCGAGTACACAAACAAGAACCTACAGTTATTTTTCATGGACGAAATTAAAATGACAGTTTCAATAGGAGTTTCAAAAGATGGAAAATAGTTTTTCTACTTTCGAATCTGTTGAATATCCTCCTGTGGTCGTGGCCTCGGCGGCGCTACTGGTTCCGGTGCGGCGGCGTTAGTGGCTTCGACGGCGGTTCGACGGCGGCATTGAAGCTGACCACCACTACCACCACTGTTTCGGAATCAACAAAACAGACAATTTTCTAGTTTTTGCCTTTCTCTCTGATCTAGAAACCCTTTTTGTTTTCTCCGAGACATTGGAAGTGGCTAAAAAAATTAAGAATTGTTTAATTCCGATTCGGATTTCAAATTTTTCGTAGTTTTTTCTTCGGCTACTTCGCCATTCAACAATTGGTGCTTCAATCTTCTCGCATTTTGATTTTTGATTGCTTTGTTTTGTTCTGTTCTGTTCTGTTCTTCGGAGACAGTGGAACGTGCGAGGTTTCGTTTCACTGTTACGCATTGGATCTGAAAATCCTTGAAGATTTCTGGCAAATTTCTTGACATTTTCTTCTGATCTCCGACGAATCGTCTGACCACCGGTATACCAATTTCTCTGTGGTTTTTTAGCATTATTCGTGTTTTTATTTTTTTGAGATATACTCGAAAAATATATGAACTTTTGTTTTAGATTCAAAGATTCTCACTATAAAATTCAAAATTTATGATGATTCATTTTCTTTTTTTGAATGATGAAATAGACGAGAAGGCAATCATGAGTTTTATATGGATGTTGATTGTTATTTATTTTTATGCATTTTTATCGCATCCATAATCGATTCAAAGTTAATTTCTATTATAACATCTTCACAAGATGTTCTTCGCATTGGTGGTGTTTGGGAACCTAGGTTCCAAATTTTTTTCTCATTTTTTCCACTAAAAGACTAACTTTTTACAAAACCAAAAAAAACACATCCAAACAAAATATCACATCCAACCCCATAATCATTTTACTTTTTTTCTCACAAACATCACATCCAACCACATAAAAACCCAACTATCTTCCCAAACACCAAAAATTTTTTATCCAATAAAAACCTACAACTAAAAAAATCTACATAAAAACTCACTTCCCAAACACCATCAATGTGCATTTTGGTAACATGTTTGTTCTTTTTCCTAAATGATAAATGGTAGTATTAGTCAAAATATTCCGTAATTGATAGAACTGATTTAAATTTTCAGCAATAATTGAGGAAGTCAACATATCGATCGAGCGGTTCTTTCTTTTTTGTAGACATAAAGCCTTAATCTATAAGGTAAGAGCAGGCAAAGAATTAGCCACTGTTACATTGCGAATTCATTCAATAATTTAAAGGGCAAATTACATATACCTCCCTCGAGATTTGGTTAAATTACAGATACCTTCCTGAAGTTTCAGAAATTACATCTCGCCTCCCGAGATTTGTATTTTCATAACAATTTGTCTCTTGAGGTTTATATTTCATAACAAATTGTCCCCAAATTTGTTATTTAAATATAGCATTCAGGGGGAATTTGTAATTTTTCAAATCTCAGGGTATTTGTAATTTCAAATTTCTCTGCAATTAGATCTGTCATATTATGTGTTGATTCAATTCAAATTACGACGTGTTTAGCTGAAATACATTGAGGGGAAAAATGATTTTTCAATGATAATGTCATTTAAACGCATGTTTCGGGAGCTAAGGGAGATGCGAGAGGGTTCTAAGAATAAGTTGAGAAGGACATCTGAGAAGAAGTGTTTGCATGGTCATGGAAGATCACATATAGCCCCTGAAATTTCATCATCTCCACTTGAATTGGTTGAAAGGAACAGTTGGGAGAATTTTCCTTCTGAGTTGCTCCTTGATATAATTCAGCGGCTAGAAGCTACCCAGACCTTGTGGCCCGCCAGGAGAGATGTGGTTGCTTGTGCTTCAGTTTGCAGGTCTTGGAGGGAGACAACAAAAGAGGTTGTAAGAACTCCGGAGCAACGTGGGTTGATTACTTTCCCCATCTCACTGAAGCAGGTTGAAAAAAAAAAAAAAAACTCTCACCTTTCTTTTTCGGTTCTACTTCGTGTCTGCTCTGTATATACTGAATTTGTGTCCTTTGTTGCTTTGTTGCTTCAATCCTTGGTAATCTATCAGCCAGGACCAAGAGATTCTCTAATCCAATGCTTTATAAAAAGGGATAGGGTCACATCAACGTATAGTTTGTACCTCGGCTTGAGTCCAGGTAAATAATGCTATGCTCCTTGTTTGGTTGTCAACTACTTAAATGTGCACAAAGAATTTTATGAGAGTGATGATTAAATATTGGGAATATGTTTGAAAACTTTGAAGTTAACATCTTGAATAAGTGTGACTTCCCTACTTTGTTTCATGTTGTTCTTCTTTTTTACTGATCACTGATTTTTAGATCTCTATTATTGTTAGAGACGCTTGTTTAGTTGTCAAACTTTCTGAACTCATGCTCAAATTAGCAGCTGGATAGAAAGTTTTGAGATATTTTACTTGTATGATCATATCTGTCTTCTATCTAATTTTTTCTCTTACAACTTTAGATAATAATTAAATACATATATAATACATATTGATGACTTTTACTTAATTACAGCACTATCAGAGGATGTCAGCAAACTGTTGTTGGCAGCAAAAAAGATCAGAAAGGCAACAAGTACAGATTTTCGGATATCCCTGGCAACAAATGATTTCTCTCAATCTAATCATGCATATATTGGGAAATTGAGGTTGCTTCCCAAATCTATTTTTCTGATCTTCGCATCATTTGAATCATTTTTCATTTAATTAATGGGAAAATTCTTTTTATTTTTATATTTATTTTTTAATAGGTCGAACTTTCTTGGTTCCAAGTTCTCTATTTATGATAGCCAGCGTCCGTGTGACCATGCAATCCGATCCAATGGTCAGTCACATCGAAAACGCAATTACAACGTGGCTACCATATCTTATGAGCTCAATGTTCTTCGAACCAAAGGACCAAGGAAAATGTTGTGCACCATGAACTCAATCCCCACCTCTGCAGTTCAGGGAGGGGGCATTGCCCCAACTGTAGCAACATTTGGGAATTTCCTTAATGAGCAATGCTCTCCTTTATCAGTTTCTAAAGGGAAAAACCTTGTTAAATTTGGCTCAAATAGTCTTACTGAACCACTTGAGCCAGTTCATGACACAAGAGATCCGCTGATTTTGAAAAATAAAGCTCCTAGATGGCATGAGCAGTTGCAGTGTTGGTGCCTTAATTTCAAAGGACGTGTCACAGTCGCCTCTGTTAAGAACTTTCAACTGGTGGCAGCTATTGAGCCATGCCAAAATGTTCCAGCCGCTGAACAAGAGAAAGTAATGCTACAGTTTGGAAAGATAGGAAAAGACATTTTTACCATGGATTATCGTTACCCTCTCTCTGCCTTCCAAGCCTTTGCAATCTGTTTAAGCAGCTTTGACACCAAACCGGTTTGTGAATAGCCTTATTATCAAATTCCGATTGTGTGCCATGCTCATGCTTTACTTTTGTATAAGATGGTTCTATATATTTTCTTCAAAGGAGCTCGTTTTAGTTTTTATCCTTTTCTATCAGTGCCTTTTAAGTGCAGGCATCAGTTTATGTCATGGCAGTGAGCCATATAATGTATTTTAATTTGCAAATCTGTTTAATTTGCAGAATGACAATTATGCAACATTTCTCTAGAGTTTGTAACTGCGACACTTTTTTCACGTGCAATTTTGAAGGAATTCAATTTTTTAGTCACAAAGGGATTTTGCGCTAGTATATTTGATATTGACTAAAATGGAAGTTCTATAGAACCGGTATTAGACTGGCGATGTTGTATGGGTCGGAGGGCAACTGAGAAACAACATGTAGATAAGATAAGTGTTGCTGAGATGAGAATGCTAAAATAGATGTGTGGTAAGACTAGAAAAGATACAATTAAGAATGAGTATATTTGAGAATGGGTAGAAGTAGTACTGATAGAAGATAAGTTGAGAGAGAATAGATTGAGATGATTTGGTCATATACAACGAAGTCCAACAGAGGCAGTAGTGAAGATATGTGATATAGTGACGGTAGATGGAAGTGTTAGGAGAAGGAGCAGACCTAAATTGATGTGAGCTAGTTTAGTAAATAGAGATATGAATCTCAGTAGAATAATGAAATTGAGATATTGAATTATGTATGTACAAGTTTAATTGGAATTTGGAAATGTTTGAAAATTATATTTAAAATTTGCGAATGCACTTTGTTATGAATGTTGTAATTCATGCTTTAATGTAAAGGAAAAATTGGGGAAATAATTTATTAAGGATATGGATGACATGAACTTAGTTGTGGAATGTTGAAATGGGATTCAAGGATTTAGTTTGAATTATGTTGAATTGCAAATTGATGTGTAATTGGTATAAAGAAAATTAAACAAGTTAAGAACGGAATAATTATATGTGACCCGATTTCTATGTCTATTATGAATTGTGTAGGGTCAGCTACAGAGGCGGACCAAGCATCTGAACACTGTGAGTAGTAGTACGGTAGTCGTACATTCAATGATCGTTAATGATCCTTATTGTTAACATTCTATTTCTTGCAAGTATGTTGATTGGAAAATCTAAAGGCATTATTGCGCAATACATTTTATTATTGTTGACAAAGAACACTAACATTATGTGCAAGATGTCTATAGTGATTCATGACGAACCAAGGGAACGTATAAGCACTATGGAATCATGGTATTCACGTATCTCTGAAATCATTCAATTTGTAAATGTGCTTATCTCTCATTGGTAATTATCAGGAACGTCCTGTTAAACTTAAGTTAACTCATGTGAATGATGTGACGGCTACCAGTAGTACTCTGCTAAGTACAAGTCAAATATGGTAACATATATGAACGAGCAAACAAAGGTGTATGCTTCTATATGCTCTTAATAGATCAAGTGAACTACGCTATTTCTTAACGAATAATTAGCTAAGACCACGGATTGTTTTATACGTTAATACCTGCTAAGTATTATGATAAACAACGGATTGACTTACGGATGGCTCAACCCAAAGACAAAATTAAATATCGATGACCTTGTCATGTAACCCACATTATGATGTAACCTGTTCTGTCTTTGCTAAGTGTACTGTAATGACATGATATAACAAGAAATGTTCTATGTTCTAATATGTTACGTGTTGAAGTAATGAACAGTTGGCCATATATGTAAGGTATTCATGACATCCGTAGCACACGACCCTTACCCGGGGGTAATAATACCGTGTTTTCAAGTATGTTACAAGTTCAAGTATGTTTTCAAGTATGTTGCAAGTTCAAGCATGTTTTCAAGTATGTTACCAGTTCAAGTATGTTACAAGTATACGCATGTTACAAGTTCAAGTATAGTGTTACAAGTTCAAGTACATACAAGTTTACATACAAGTTTACGTATGTTACAAGTTTACAAGTTTAAGTCTGTTACAAGTTTATGTATGTTATAAGTTTAAGTCTGTTACAAGTTCACGTATGTTATAAGTTCAAGGATATTACAAGTTCTTAGTACCGAGGGACAAGAATGCTTTATATTGACTTGTTAGCACTATTGAAGTGCCAGGTATAATTAAGTTTGAATTCTGATTTTTGTTTATGAATTAAGCATAATGCATATGTATGAATTTGTTTCCGTTTATGATATGACATGATATGTATGGTTGGTCTGGAACTAAGTGCTACATTGTGAGCTACCTTTAGAGTCCATGTGAGCCATCTCTTGAGTCCATACATATATGAATGAGGCTTATAGCCAATCTAGGCCTATGGCCATTCTATATGATCTATGAGGCCAGAGGCCATTCTGTATTTTCAGTATGGAACAAAGTGTTGTACGGAACAAAGTGTTGTACGGAACTAAGTGCTGCAATGCGAGTCACCTCTAGAATCCGTACACGAGCCACCTTTTGAGTCCATACATATGTGCAAGTTATGAGGCCTATGGCCATTCCGGATAAGTTATTATAATATGAAACAAAGTGCTACACGGAACTAAGTGCTACGATGTGAGTCACCTCTAGAGTCCGTGTGAGACACCTCTTGAATTCATACACATATGTTCAAGGGCTTTATGCCATATGTTTAAGGGCTTCATGCCATATGTACAAGGGTTATATGCCAACATGTTTAAAAGTTTAATGCTAAATATGTTCAAGGGCTATCGCCACTTTGTTCAAGGGCTTAAAGCCATTATGTTCCAAGATATTATGTTTCAAGTCAATATGCTTCAAGACTGGGCCTTAGGCCGTACAAGAATTAATACAGAATCAATTAACCTTATGCCTCATTATTTATGTATGCATTGATATATATTATAATTCAAGTTGAGCATTGAATCGTTTATGTACTATTATTCACTGAGCTTCGCTCACTTTATATTATGTCTATTCTGTAGGTAATCACTTTGGGAGTCCGTCTTAACCCTTGAAGCTTACCCTTCAGTTGTCAATCTCAGTATGCCCAGGCTCCCAGACCAAGTCTATGCATTTATGTCAAGTTTTGTTGAGATTTTGACTTGCACTTTAATTATTTACCTAAGGTTAAAATATATGTATATGACCCATTTTTATACCAATGTTTGTTTATGCGGTCATGTATACGTATGGGTATGTCTAAAATAAATGACTCTCACGAATGTGATCCTGGCATGTTAGGTTTAGCTCAATGGATGCTTTTTCTGTGTTATTTTATTATGTTAAATGCTTCCATTCAGGCCCTATATGATATGTATATCAGGTTAAGTGTCCGTTTCTGTATGGGTCATGCCCGAACTTTTAGGAGCGAGTTTGGGGTGTGACATGTTTGGAATTCATCTCAGGTTGTGTTGTGTACGCACCTGGGCAGTTGTGTTGGACCTCCTCTCACGATTTCAACGTGGTTTGAGTGTCCCGTTTCTCACACGATTTCAGCATGTTTGGAATTCATCTCAGGTTGCGTTATAGGCGCGCTGGGCGGGTTGTTAGACCTCCTCTCACGATTTCAGCGTGGTTTGAGTGTCCCTTTCCTCACACGATTTCAGCGTGTGTGGAATTCATCTTAGGTTGTGTTATGTATGTACCTAGGCGGTTGTTTTCAGGCCTTTTCTTACGATTTCAACATGGTTAGAGTGTCCCATTCCTCACATGATTTCAGCATGTTTGGAATTTATCTCCGGTTGCGTGGAATGCGCTCCTGATTGGTTTTCTTTGTTCTTCCTCCTCTCACGATTCCAGCGTGGTTGGAGTGCGTTACCCCATTTGCATCTATTGCTCTATCTGTTACATCCATTGCATCATATCTGTTTTATTCTGGTCTAGGAGACCTTAAATCCTCTAAAGGTGCAATTCCTTTGGTGTTTGTCGTGCCTAAACAACTCCCAGTGGTCTGGTATAGCCACCTGCCTGTGTTTGTGGTGAGTTCTTAGGGGACCAACTGAGACGGTGGAAACTAGAGTTCGAATGGCTTACGTCTAGAACGCAAAGGTTTGGGATTTCCAAGACTAAAGTCTAGTTTAAATACCCAGGGGTATATCTTCGACTTGAAATCTGTATGGCAGCCCTATAGATTGAGATAACATGTATATGCGCCTCAATTCTGGATACCGAATCAACCTAGTCTGTCACCCTATTGGAGAATAGGGAAAGCTGCGACCATAGCCAGGGAGAAAAGTAGTACTGTGGTTCAACCAAGAAGAAGCAAAAGATCCCCAGCAGCATGAGGTAGGTCATTGCCAATTGCCCCTGTAAGGTATCTTCGCTTCCTAACTACTACATCATCTAGTATGTATATTACATTGTACATAGCATGCATTACATGCATTCATTGCATATAGAATATATATTGCATTGTAGTGCACTTCCACCTGCATTGTCGTGCATTCTTCACTTGCGTTGACACGCATGTTTCGCTTCCACTTGCATTGTCATGCTTTCTTCACTTCCGTCGACACGCATGTTTCGCTTCCACCTGCATTGTCATGCACTCTTCACTTGCGTCGATACGTATGTTTCGCTTCCACCTGCATTGTCATGCATTCTTTACTTGCGTCGACACGCATGTTTCGCCTTTACTTGCATTGTACATTGCATTGTAGTTTGCATGCATTTACTGCATTATCCATCTATGACTTGCGCCTTTCCATATTTAGCTTGGTCTGGTATGTGCCCATACTTTTCGCGTTGAAACATGGTTATGATATTATGTGTACGCACCTAGTGTTGAGGGTGACAACACCGTTTCCGTGTTAAACGTGGTTTGTTTGTGTCCATGCCTTTCGTAGGCAAAATTTGGTTTGGCCGCGTGCCTTATCCACTGCATCCATTGCATTTTAGCTAGTATGTATATTGCATTGTACATAGCACATATTGCATGCATTCACTGCATCACCTCCATCTATCACTTGCGCCTTTCCATGTTGAGCTTAGTCTAGTATGTGCCTATACTTTTCACGTTGAAGCACGATTATGATATTATGTGTACGCACCTAGTGTTGAGGGTGACGGCACCGTTTCCTTGTTAAACATGGTGTGTTTGTGTCCATGCCTTATCTAGGCAAGATACGGTTTGGCCGCGCGCCTTATCCATTGCATTCATTGCATTGTAGTGTAGTGTGTTGCATCCAGTATTTAGGATCATGACATTTTCTCAGCAGATCATTCATCACTTATATCATGCCACCCAATTACTTGTATTTTGTGTTCCGTCTACACACACATAGTTCTGTATGTGTACGCGCCTATTCCACTGATTGGATTGTGGTTTGAGGGTGTCGGCACCTTTTTTATGGTAAACGGAGTTTTATTGTTGTATCTCCATCCTTTTCATGATATTTATGAGGTTTTGTACTGTTTGTGGCTTGATCATCTCAAATACATTGCATATCATTTGCATTGTTTCAATACATTTTATATTATTACATTGTTTTGTAATATTGCATATCATTTTGCATCTTTTATCCGCATTGTTATACGGCACACTTAGGTTGCATTGTCATACATCCACACTCTACTTGCGTGGTCACGCACTTTTCACTTGTATTGCTATGCATGTGTCTAACAGTATTGTACCTGTTAAGTTTCTTTCTTTTACAGGCACGATATTGTATGTACGGTTCATTTGAGGCTGGCGCGA